GGCAGGTATATATATATATTGGTTAATATTAATCAATAACTTACCTCATTTGCAAACTTTTACATAAATTAATTACTAATACAAAAAGTTCAAATGTCTTTGAATTATATGAAAACATGCTTTCAATATATTCATAATATCAAGCTTTATGTAAAAAAAAATTCATAAAATGAATGCATTCTTAGTTATGGAAAATATCAATAAATTGTTGAAGCAATTTAAGGGGAAGCATTGCTTGAACGGGAATTTTCATTTTTCTATCAAATCCTAGACCTAAACATGATCACTACTCCAATAGGAAGTTAACACAAGGACTTAATTGTGGCTCTCATTTCTATGGGAGGGTAGTAAGTTAAGAATTAGACGAGCAACAAAGAAATAAAAAAAATTACACAAATTTATTTAATTTAGTTTAGTCTCTCATGCCTATGTTCACCAAGATGTTCATTATCTATCTCAAGATGTATTACATATATCTTGAAAATCATCCCTTCAAGTTTTGTGGGTGAAACTTAAAAATCTCTTCCTCACAAGTTTTATAGGTGAAACTTAAAACCTTCCCCCTTACAAAATTCTGGCTAAACTTGAAAATCCTCCTTCACAAGTTTTCTGGTAAAACTTGGAAACTCTCCTTCATATAATCTCCTCTCTCATTTAAGGTGGTGACTCTCTACAATTTGGATAATTCTTTTCATCTCAAGAGTCTCTATTTATTAACCTTGCATCATAATCTTGAAAGAGGAAACAAATCTCTAAAATAAATACAATATATTTCAATTCTAAACAATATCCTAAAAGAATCAATATCTTTTAAAATCTAAATAATATCTCAGAGATTTAAATTTGAAAATTTGAATTATTTTCCCAATAACCAATATATAGGTATATTGATCATCCTTCTCCTCTTCTCATTGTCATCAAAGGTAGTTAAAAAGTCTACATATCCCTTGGTATCAACTCACTCCCCCAAGAAACCAATGAGCTAGTAATTATAGGACTTAATGCTTGACTTGGGAATTTGGAACTGTCGAAAGATGGACATGTATAAGATATCAGCAAAGCTACCTTGGTCTACCAATGTCTTCATCATTGTGAAGTTTTCCATCTCCATAGTGATCACTATAGGATCGTCTTGACAAAGATTCAAACCCTTGAAGTCCTCATTGATGAAAGTGATCAACAACATTTTTCAAGAAGGTTGTCGTGCAACTACATTCCTCATTTTAACCAAATGAAGATGTTATTTCCTAATTGAGCTAGTCGACCCTCCACCAACAAATTCGCCAACAATGGTGTGGATCACCCCATGTAGTTGAGAACACAGACAATCCTCTTGTCAAGGAGCTTGCTCGGGACTCATCCAAGTTCTATCTGTTCTTTCACGTCGCCTTTCATGACATTCATACCTTTGATCTTGGTCTCGAGATTGGGAATCAACTTTTTGGACAAACTTGTGTAGGTGTCTGACTTGAATTGACTTTTCAATCTTATCTTTTAAGGTTGTACACTCTTTAGTAGTATGACCAAAGTTATGGTGATATCGACTATGCTTATTTCGATTGACCTTTTGAGGGGTAGAAATTGACTTAACTGGTGGAATCAAGTCACTACTTAAGGCTTCATCGAGTATCTGGGAGCGACTATCATTCAAAAGAGTGTATTGGGAGTACCGAGGTTGTTTATGTGCTCTTGTGAGCCTAGATCTATCTTTGTCCCTCCTATCCCCTTGAGATTCTAACTTACCCTTGCCTTGTTCTTTGCCGGAATGCTCTTGGAAGTTGGCAAGTTCCTCCATCTTTGTATACTTTACGACCCTCCTACGAAGTTGTTCCATAAATGAAGTCAACTTCTTGTACAGACTATTAAGGAAAGGGCCTAACTTCAAGGTTGTTAACATTTGATGAAGAGCGACTTTCTTGGCCTGGTTAGGAATTTCAAATTCCACTTTTCCAAATCTATCCATGAAGGCTCTAATTGACTCATCATTACCTTGCTTGATGCTGATAAGGCAATCAAGGTCATAACATGGGGTTGACTAATGCTAAATTGGGTTTGAAGTGGGCAACAAATGTTGAGAAAAAACTAATTGAATGGGGTGGGTGGCGAGTAAACCACCTCAATGCCACCCCCTCGAAAGAAGTAGAGAATAGTCAACACATGATGGCATTAACATTAGTAAGCATGCTAACTTGAGAAACATTTAGCTTGGTTAACATGATCATCAGGATCAAAGGTTTTATAATACTTGTCCAACCCTAGGTCCTTCCATCCTTTTGGAAATGGTACTCCCATGATATCATCACTAAATGGATGCTTTCGAAATTCATCCAATGTAGCAGCAAAGGGAAGTGTTAAGGTTCTAGCTTGTCAAGGTAAAGGTGCAGATGCTCCAATTTGCCGCCAAATCCCTCTGGATCATGGAATCTGAGTTGACGACATTCTAGAAGGAAAGATGGAATCCCTTGAAGAGTTTAAAGAATTTAGCTCCCATGTTGGATTGGAATCAAGTATTTTTGTAGTTGACTGCGATTACTAAATCAATTGTCACAGCTCGGCATTCTATTTTCGAAGA